AAGGTAATGCGTGGGATAGTGCAAGAATTTGGAGGAAAAGTGGCCTTTTGGGCATGTTGAGTTTGAAGGACCTAAAGAATATGTCTAGAAGGAAATCTGTTAGATGGCCTAGAACTTAGGAGAGAGAGGCGTAGGTTGGAAATACAGATTTAGGAATAAGCGCCATATTGAGCAGTTAGTATATGTAAGAATTCCCAAGGTGCTCGTCAAATGCTGGTTGCTTGGTCTAACCCTCAGAGGTTTTGGTGCGATGGGTCTGGGGAGGAGTCCAGCAGTCAATCTTTAAAGCTGCATATGATCTGTAGAACCAATTTTTAGAACTATTGCCAACAAAGCAAAAGGAACACTGCAAGAAAGTGATGCTAGAAGATCCCAAAGTGGAGACTTTCCAGGAATAAGAGTGGTGACTTTGTGAGCACAGCAGGAGCTCCTAAAAACATGGAACTGAAAAGATCTACAACCAGTAGTGAGACAGTGATGACCTGGAGGGACCAGTACAGGGGGTGTTTGGTACAGACGCCTACTAGGGTGACACTAATGCATGAAGCTTGTCTAGGAACGGAATAGCTTGCAAACAGAATTTGAAATCTAACAGCCAAAGGACCTGGTCCAAGTTCTGAGTCTGCTACTTAATGGCTGTAGATACAGTATTTCTGCAAAGTTCATGTTCTTGCTTATGGCGTGTGAGTATGGTCTTATGTTACAAAGACCTTCATACAAGGTAAGTATGATAGAAAAACCTTTTCTATTAACAAGCCATCTGAGTGGCAGGATACCTTAAACGATTACTACAGAGCGGTTATCTTACTTGTGACTTTCCACTGTGACAAAATATCCCTAACTCCAGTCATTGGAGTGCCCTCCCCCCATCAAAAAAAAAGCCCCACCAGATTTCAGGGGAAAAAAGAGTCATATATAATGTCATTAAATAGACCAATGCCTTCCTGACTCTACAGAGAGGATTCAGAGTTCTGAGTGGGAAATGCAGGTCAAATGATTTGTCCAAAGTCACAGCGCGAATGAAAGACAAAGCTAAGTATAAAATGGAGCCAGACTCCTGACTCAGTGTTCCCCTCTGCCCCACTCATGCTCTGTTCCTGTCTTATACTTCCCTTCTTTATGCTCTGCCATTTTAATCTTTCTCTTTTATAGAAAAGTGAGAAGTAGGACACAGGAGTTATGCTGACTAGGGTGAAGAAAGAGGTCTTTAGTTTGAACAAGTCCAAAGGCTCAGATGCAAGCTCCTTGAAGACATTTTTAAACTTTCTCTTTCTCTCTTATTCTCCATGCCCATAGACAGACACCCAAACTTAGTCTAGAACTCGGGCTAGAGTAGCGAAGGAACTGGTACTGTACACATATCTCTCAACTCTCCACATTCCTAATTAAAGACCTCTCCAACACATCAACAATAAACAGACAGCAGTTAGAGGTAGAACTTGAATGGTTCACATGACACCCTTGGAACACAACGGAAGGTTTATATCCCATGACAAAGACAGACATGCTACTTGCCACTCAAGTATTTCTACCTCTATTTCCTTCCCTTAGCTACTCAAAGCAGGCCAAGACTTTTCCTCTTTATCCTGCAGCAGAATGGCTGCACACAGCCAGGATAAATGAAGGAAATCATTTTACCTATAACTCCATATCAGCTTATTTCTTAACAGAAAAAAAAATCCTTGATAAATTGACTTACTTTTCCTCCCTGCAACCTCAGTCTCCATCCTTTCTGGCTAGCTTTTCACTAAGCTAATTGGATCATACGTTTTGCCCATTGCTAGAGACTTTTCCTTGAATATACCACCCTACAGTTGACTAGTTAAAAATTAAAGGAAATATTTATAATATTCTTTGTCTTATAAACTAATTAAAGAAAAAAATATAGTTTCACAAGTTATATATATAAGACAACTTATGTCATAGAAAGACATAAGACAGAGAAAGACAACTTAATGTCATAGAACTTTGTTGGTAGATTCTTTTAAGGTGCTGAGGACAAACCCAGGGGCTCCTCAGGCTTGCTAAGCAAGCACTCTACCCCTGGGCTATGTCTCCAGGCCCAGTTGGTAGATTTTAATAGTCATCAATATGTATGAATAACAAGTGTCTCTTGATAATAAAAGGAAGATTCACAAGACTCTTCCACTTTCTAGAACTCACACTTTTTCATCCCTCCCCACTTTTTTTGGTGATACTGGGGTTTGAACTGAGGGTTTTGCGCTAGCTAGGCAGGAATTCTACTGCTTGATCCATGCCTCCAGGCTCTTTTATTCCCTTTAAAAGGGGAAACATTGATTTACTGTTTTCTAAAATGTCACCTTGTTCCCTTTCCTTTCACGTATTTTAGGAAACAATTTTGGGTTTTTCTTGTAATCGTGTGTATTTTTCTGATTTGACCTGTTAGCACCTTAGAACAAGGACTGTCCTCTATAGATGGAGAGAGTGACATTTATTTTTAGCACTCAGTACTTTTTAAACCTTCTCTTTTTTAGAGGTAGCTGTGACAGTCATAGAATAATACTTCTCCCAGAGTCAGATCATGATATAAGAAACTGAAAAGGAAGGAAATATGAAAGATACAATAAGAAGCAGAGGTTGGATATGAGTTTAGGTCTGAGTCAGTTATTGAGGAGGTACAGGGTGATAAAAAGGGAATGTGTTAGTGGGAAATAACTCCAGTGGGAGGTCAAGGTATTGGGAAGAAAATTAAACTCACTAACCATTCCAGTGCTGACTCAAGGGTTGAAGGTTTGGCAAAGGGAAAGACACGAATCCTACCCTGCCACAGAAGAAACAGACCTGGGTAAAAATGTAGGTGCAGAGAATGGCATTCCAGGAAGATTTTAAGAGAGATTAATTTTATTTGTTAATTTAGAGTGTCCAACATTCTAACATAGGAGGCTGTTTTTCTTGGCTCTAGAATTCAACAGGCTATTACTTCCCCAAATCAGCATACTTTATTTTGTGTATCTGCTGCTGTTTTTTATTTGCTGCTTTCCTAAACTTGCTGACAATTTATAGAACTGTACTTAAGATTCTAGGTTCCCATTTGAGCACCATGACTGTGATTTCTCTCTCTCTCCAATCTGTTGTGCTGGGAATTGAACTCATGGTCTACTGCGACTCTACCACTGAGCTACACCCTTAGCCTCCAAATGTGATTTCTAAGATACACACCCTAAGTCAATCTCTGTTGCTTTTTATGCCTTGCAGGAATGAATCTTGTCAAATCAAAAGATTCAGAGGTAAGAGGAATCCCAGCAGAGCATATGGTCAATTTACAGACTTCCTGGTAGTATGCACACATTATACAGCTGGGCTAACAAGTACTGGATTTAGAAACTTATCATGTTATTACATTTTTTTTTTTTAGATTTGTAATGATAGCAATACAAAGTGGTCAACAGCTCTGGATTTTCTTGCTATGCTATATCCAAAGACCGACCACTGGTGCAAAGGTAGAATATTTCCTGCTAGTTATTCATCGATTTAAAAAAAAAAACAAAACACATTTTCCAGAGAGTGGGCAGGAGATAAGATGTCAAGAAGTAATAAGTAGCGAAATGAAGGCGCAGAATGCAAAGGGACCAGAAAGAAAACAAAGTGATGTTATTTTTTTCCCCTGTGTATGCAGATGGACAGGAAAATTATAGCAGTAATTGCTGTCTTCTTTTCTCCAAAGACACAACTGCCTTGGGGAAGCAGAACATGGGAGGAGAGTCCAGTGAAACTGCATTCTCCTCCAGGCCCATTTGACTTGCTGGATGTGGCTTTGGCCAAGGTCATTTCCCCTTTCCGTGCCTTAGTTTCCTTAAATACTGTAAAAGATTGCCTATTTAGTTACGGGAGGTCGCATGAGATATGCTTCAGAACCCAAAACTGATCAAAGCAAGGTGTTATGAGATTACCAACTGGTACTGTTATTGAACTCCGTATCCTGCTGGCATGAGTCATCTTGCTGCAAAGATGCACAGGCAAGCCAAGTGTGACCAGGTCCAGAGACGGTCAGAGGCGAGCAGAGTACTCTTAGAGGTGCTCTGGAGAAGATCTTAGTTGTGTGAAAACTGCCCTTGCTCACAGAGCGAAGGCGAGGGGACAAGACTTATTTTTAGAGTATTGTACAGCAAGGTGGTTTTAGACTTTTGAAAACCTAGAGCCAGTTTGAATCCAGGCGTTGGCATTTACTACTGTGACCTTGAGCAAATCACCATTTGCTTCTTTAAAGTCTCAGTTTTCCTATCTGTAAAACGGGGAACATACTAGTTTCTGTAGGATTGTTGGTGGTTTAGATAAGCACCATCCCAAGGGCTATTATTGGAATAGCTGAGAGACAAGGAGAGTATAAATTCACGTGGCTAATAAGTGAATCCTTTTTTTTTAAAGGAAGAGGAAAAAGGTGAGTTTTTATATTATAAAGCAATAAATGACCTAAGGGGCCTCGGAAAAGGGAAAAACTTGTTTTGTCAAGTCTGAATCCACTCAGATTTTATTAGGTCCACAGTAACTACTCAAACCTTTGAGATTTGGCACACGACGCCCAAACAAATAAGCAAAGCCCTTCCGTGTGCTTGAATCAAAACAGCTTTCTATTTTAAAACGCCAGAGAGACGTGCAGCCCCTCTCGACTCTGACCAAACACAGCTCGGGTGCGTGGTTTTTAAAACCGAGAGATCGGGATTGGAGCGCGGGTGGGACGCAGCGCGCGGGGCTGCAGCCGGGGGCAGAGCCCGGGGGTCCGCGGTGCCCGCCCCGCCCCAATCCTATCCGCTCCTGAACCTGCGCGCGGGCGCGGGGTGGCGGGCGGGGGCGGGGGCGGGGCCTGCGCCGGCGGGGCCTGCGCGGGCGCGGCGCCGTCGCCCTCCCCCGAGCGCGGCGGGGGCGACCGGCCGGCGGCCGGGGGACGATGTCTAGGGGTGGCGACGCAGGCCGGACCCAGCCGGGGTGACGGGGCGGGCGCCGCCCAAGGGGGTAGGGCGGGCGCGGGGGCGCGCCGGGCGGGGAGGAGCGCGCGGGCCGCGCTCCCTCCGCTCGCTCGCTCTCGCTCTCTCTCTTCCGTTCTTTCGCTCGCTCGCTCGCTCGTTCCCTCCGCCCTCGGCAGCCGCGGCGGCAGCAGGAGAAGGCGGCGGCAGCAGGAGAAGGCGGCGGCAGCGGCGGCGGCTGGGGAGCAGACATGGCGGCGGATCTGAACCTGGAGTGGATCTGCTCCCTGCCCCGCTCGTGGACGTACGGGATCACCAGGGGCGGCCGCGTCTTCTTCATCAAGTAAGGCGCGGGGGGCGCGGAGGGCTGGCGTGCGGGAGGGGTCCTGTCCCCCCCCAATCCCCCTGGGCTGCCGGGCGCCCCCGCTCACGCTCGGTCTCTGCCCCTTGTGTCCCCGCAGCGAGGAGGCCAAGAGCACCACCTGGCTGCACCCGGTCACCGGCGAGGCCGTGGTCACCGGACACCGGCGCAGAGCACAGTAAGGGCGCGCAGCGCGACGGATGCTGGTCGGACCGGGCCGGACCGGACCGG